AATATGTGCTATAACATAGGAATTAAGAGTTATAAATATGAAGGACAGTTTATAAATTACAGATTGTGCATATGACCCTGGGGTTACAGGTGTGGGCCACCATTGTCCGGCTTTTTATGTGGGTACTGTGACTAAAACTCAGGTCCTCATGCTTATGGCAGGCACTTTACCAACCCCTATTTGTTTAAGAGTTAATATGAAGGACTGGTGAGATGATTGAGTGGGTAAAGGCACTTGCTGCCAAGCCTGACAATCTTTGTTCATTACCTGGGACTCAAATGGTATAAGAAGAGAACTGGCTCCTGACCTGCACACATGTGCCAAGGCACCTCCCCTAATAAATAAAAACAGAAACCAAAGTAATAGAAAAATAAATGTCAAAAAAAAAGTTATATGGTGTTCAGTAGCTCAACTGAGAACTATTTGTGTATGAAGGCGAGGTTATGTTTATCTTAGAAAATTTGCCACCTAGAACTGATAATAATCAACGTAGACTAGATCAGGATTTGAGTGGAAGGTGAAGTCATTCACCTTGTATAGAGAGCATTTGGCAGTGATGTCATTTTGTTCAGTTGCCTTTGCTGCCAGTGTTTCTATACCCTCTTCAAGCATTTGCTTTAGATAATCAATTTTAACTTCTTGTCTTAGACTAAATTTTGCCAAGCTGAGGGTAGCCCTAATAATACTGTGGAATTAATTTTTGTACTTCTATCTGTGTCTAGTCACTTGTTTGATTACAGGTAAGATTCTGGTAATGTTCATCTGCTGTCTTGCTTGCTTCTTTAATAATTAAGTTTCTCCATAAAATACTGTCTTCTCACTCGACATCCATGGGTTGACCCGAATTTAACTTTTCTTTCTGTCTTACTTCATTAGTGCTAGAATTTCAGGTGTATGCTACCACACCTAGCTTTTACTGTTGTTTTGTTGTATTTTGATTTGGTTGGTTGGGGTTTTTTTAGTCTTTTTGAGACAGGGTCTGGTCCAGCAGCCTGTAACTTGGCATATAGACCAGGCTGGCCTCCATCTCACAGAGATCCACTTGTCTCTGCCTTCTGAGTGGTAGGATTAAAGGCGTGTGCCACCATGCTGGCTGGCTGGCTAGTATTGTCTTTTTTTATTATTGCAGTGTATACTATACTTGATCTTAGCCAAAACACTAAAAAGTGGTTATTGTCACAATTTCTAATAGCTAAAAAATCAGATTACTAGAATTCAACCATTAGGGTTCCCTTTAAGAAATACTGCTTTAGGGTTGGAGAGTTGACTTGGTGGTTAAGAACACTGGTTCCATAACTTCAGTTCCAGGGAATCCAACACTCTCTTCTGATCTCTGTGGGCATTGTAGGTCATGGGTGCACTTAACATACATGCAGGCAGTATACTCATAATACAGAAAAATAAAAATAATTTTAAAAAGATACTATGTTACATAAATGTATGTTATATGTTACATAAATATAAATGCTCACTGTAAAAGCAGGAACAATACATTATATAAAGAAGTGAAAAATATATCCTTACACATCTACTTCTTTAGATTTAACCATTATTAGTTTGTGCTTGGGTCCCACATGGTGGAAGGAGAGAAGGAACTTCTGCAGGACTTCTGTAGGAATCTGACCTAGGTATACTAAATACCTTGTAATTTAAAAGCCGTGTTTTTTGTTTTTGTTTTGTTTCTCATTTTAAAGGGAGATTGTATATATTGAGGGGGACTGTATAATTCTGTTCTCAGAGTTGACTTTATAACATAAAAACTTAAGCAGAGTTTAAGCCTTAATATGTTTTTTGACTTCAGGGAAGAAATCCTTTTTTCTTGGAACCAGCAATAATTATTACAATTACTGATGGGAGCAAGTTGACGACTACCAGTGGAGTCCAGGATGAGGTGAGCTATGCTTATGTCACATGGGTTATGCAAGCGTAATTGAAAAATCTATTATCTGTATTTGCGCTATAGGGTATTGAACATTCTAATAGTTATTTGATGTAGTTTATAATAATCCATCTCCTAGGGGCCATCTATCTTTGTAGCAACCCTCTCCATATTTTCTTTTTTTAATTGAAATTTTGCTAATTTCCAATGATATATTTTGATCATATTTAGATCCCTTCCCTTATCTACACCCCCTCATTACTATCCCTGCCGAATTTTATGTATTTTATTTTATATGTATATATAAAGGCCTATAGAATCAATTTTGTGTACCCAAATGTCCTTCAGTATGGGTCCATCTACTGGAGCTTGGTTTGCCTACCAAGAGTCAGACCCTAAAAGAGACCAACTCTCAGTGTCCCAGCAGAATGGTTTCCAGTATTTCCTCAGGTAGGGTTAGGGTTTTTTTTACCCACTTCCTCATTTCTGTGCTGGGATTTTTGTCTGCCTTGAGCTTACAGTATTTTCTTGAATAGTAATCTCTTTGTGCCAAAAAATTTGAGCATTCCTTCTGCTCCAAAAAGAGAACAATATTAGTTCATATAATAATAAAATTAATGCTTATTTTCAGGTCATCCACCCCCAACCCCCAGAAACAGCATTCTGAAATCTCTTTCCTTATTTTAATGGGTTATTGTGATGGCTTTTAGTCACTGAAAAAAATACCTGAGGTAAAAAAAAAAAAAAAAAAAAAAAACCTGATGAAGTTGCTCAGTGCATGTAGCCAGGAAGCAAAGACAGGAAGAGAAGGCAGTCAAAAAATAGAGCGGTCCCCTAGTCTCCTAACTTCCTCTAAGGAGGCCCCACTCCTTAATGCTGCTGCGGCCTCCCAGTAGCACCATCAGCTTGGGACCAAGACTTTGGGAGACATTTTATTCCAAGCCATATCAATTGTTTGTCTTTTACCAAAATCCAGTAGGTTAAAATTGAGAAAAGAGAAGAGCCTGGGTATTTTCATTTTCTCTTAAGTTGGCATGTAGTATAAATAATTCATAGCTAATATTACTAGCCTCTATCAGCATGCATTATGCACAGTTGTGTGTGGTGTGGTAGGGTAAATCTGTTAGATTAAAAAAACAAACTTTACAGTGTTTTTACTGTAGTATTTGAACTGCTTGAATATTCTACTTTTTTTCTTTATGTATGCTGATGTAGAAAAGTGATGTTAGACTGTTAACTGTTTGCATTTGCTCTAACACTTTACTTTTAATTTCTATGATATTTGTGTTTGCTAAAATAGGAGTGGTAAGATTTTTAAGGATTAGTTTGAGATTTTGCATGATGAATTAAAATGTAACTATTTAAAAATTTAGAATTATTTCCATTTGTGCGTGACATTGGAATGCAAATTACATGAAATAAGGACGTGGGGATTTTGTTCTTGGTTCAAGTGCGTCCTGGCAGTGCAGGTTGTCCAAGTTGACCTAATTTCCCTAAAGCTCTATCTTATCCATGAATAATTCTTGCTTTACCTCATAGGGCTGTTTGCAGTCTAAAATGAAGTAATATATGTCAAAGTACTTTGTAGACTATAAAGAAAATATATTCTGTTATTTTGTCATGAAACAATAGTAAAGAACTTAGGTTACCTTATTGAGATTTTGGGAGAAAAGCTAGAATTGCTTTGTTTCAGTAGTTAATATTAGAAAGAATTTAGGATGTAATTATGGAGGTAGCTCTGAAAAGTTAGGTAGATTATGATCAATAATTAGATAATTTATAACACATATCTAATTACCTGCTTGATAGTAGAACTTAATGGGCTATTTGGGCTTTCTTAGACTTAGTTGACATGTTTAGCCAATTGTGGGCCTGACATTTTCAGGAATAGACAGACATTGATTATATTGATACATAACCACATGCAGTAGAAATGTCACTTCGCTTGAAATTAGATTTTTCTCTCTTAAACATAATTTAAATATTTATGTTTGTTTTGTAGAAATTTCAAGCCTTTTGATTGTTGGGTTTTTTCGCCTTAATGAGTTTGAGTTAACAATTATATCTATTTTCTTTTGTAAAATATTCCAATATGTAAGGCTGCCCATTCAAGGTGCTCTGTCTCTTACTTTTGTAGAAATGCCTGTTGGGATATATTTTATTTCCATACATCCCAATCTGTTCTATTTATAAAATTTGTTTTATGAGACCCCTTCTAGCTTCAAAAATATCTTGAAATATACATGTGAATTGAAATTGCTCAACTTTTTTTCTATCATTATATATTTATAATATCCCAATATTAAGCAAATAAGATTGAGAAGATTTTGCTATGGGGAGAGGTCTTACCTTTCAGTTTTTTTTTTTTTTGTTTCGTTTTGTCATCTTGTTTACTATTTGGTATATCATTAAGAACCAAATTTACATTTATAAAAGTATGGTAGATGTTATATTGAATCTGATAGCCAAGTTTAAAATTGGTTCCTACTGCTACTTCTTATCTGAGGCACAAGGTTCATTTGTTTTTAAGGCAAAGGGGCTTTGTTTTTGAAATTGGGGCATAGGCCTGCAAGTTTTTTCCATATTTGACTTTGCATGTTTCTCTCTCTCTCTCTCTCTCTCTCTCTCTCTCTCTCTCTCTCTGCTGTGGATTGAATCTAGGGCCTAGTCCATGCTAGGAAGTACTCTAAGAATCCTAACCTATGTTTTGTTCTTAATGTCAAAAGACTACTGTTTTATTTTAGAGAGACACTACAACCCAGAAGTATACATACTATTGAGATTTAATCATGAAGTTTTCTAGTTTGAGAAATTAAATCATGTAATAAGGAGCTTTTGAATTCATAGACGTATGTATAGATGATTTTTGTGTTACTCTTACATGGATATGTATAATGTGTATGTAGATGCATACTAGATATATAATCTATGTTGTAGTTTCTACTAGGGAATAACAATTTTGCTCTTTATATCTCTTCAAATATTCTAATACTTGGTCTTTGACAAAATTTGATTCTTTTTTATATTCATCGAATGAGTCAATATGTATGTCATTTATTCATGTCCATTTAAGGAATTTTAAGGGTTACGTGTGTGTCATTTTTTGTTCATTGTGGCTTTTTAAAGAATATTAAATAAAGACACTGCTTGCTATATATCTCAGGTTGGCTTTGAACTCTCTGAGTAGCCCAGGCTGACTGCAAACACATGATTCTCCTGCATCTGCCTCCCAAGTAGTCAGATTACAGGAGTGTGCCCCTACACCTGGCTAGCTGTGACTACTATTGATATGACCTATTTCTATTTGTGGATTTGTGCGTTCCACCCACATGATATCCTTTGCTTGAGAGTTCTGTCATCTACTGTGGTTAATAATATCTGTCCTGTTAGTACAGAATGGCTTATCCTCTTCCTTTCAAATTATTCTCATGACATAAGAAGAAGTATGAAGTTCATTTAGACTTAACTTTTATTTTGCAAATGATGAAATTGAGATCCAAGGAGGCAAAGTGATCTGTGTGGGTTATAGCAGTTGTCATTGCCAGAGTCTACATAAAAATCTGTCTGAATTGTGAAGGTATCCTAGCCCAACAGTGCTTTGTTTTCTTTTTTCACTGCCTCTTTGATTCTGTTGTTGAATGTGTTTAAAATTTACCTTTTATTTGTGTGTGTATGTTGTGGTGTATGTGTTTATATACAGGTGTGTGCACGTGTGCATGAATACGTGTGGGTTTGAGAGGTTGATGTTGACTATCTTCCTCTGTTGCAGTCTACCTTATTCTTTGAGATAGGTGTTTAACAAACTACTCTCTTCTTACTGAACCTGTAGCCCTCTCATTTGGCCCAAGTTAGCTGGCTAGCAAGCCTCAGGGGTCTTCCTGTTCCCACTGCCCCAGCATTGAGTTTATAGGCACTCACTGAGCCTGATGTGTGGGGATCTAAACTCAGGTCTTCATACTTACACAGTATGTGCTTTACTGACTAAGCCATCTCCCCAACTAAACTTACCTTCTATTTATTCGAGTTCTTTTTTTCTCCCCCCTATTTCAGCTTTCTATGCAATTGTACAGATAATTCTATTCTTAATGTGCTGAGCCTTCGATGACTGGTGTGACCCAGTGCATTTCTAGTCAGCAAAGATAATGGGATGGAATTTTGACTCTGTTTATGACAGAGTGTTTGTTAAGTAGTTTTATCCTGAGTATGTAGAAGCCCTGAAAAGGTGAACTTATCTCATACTCACAGGTACTGCTGCCTGTCCTTGGCATTTAGTACATTTTTGTGTAAAGTTATATATGGTGCTAATTTTCAAGCAAATTTAAAGGTTTGAGGGATAACTATGTACTGTATGTGGCTTGTTGCTTGTATTTGTTCACTTTATATAGAAGCTCAGTGTAAAAATTGCTTTGAACTTAGAAAAACAGTTAATTGTAAAACTTGCTGCCATATTAAATCTTGGCCTAAGTATGTGCAGGCCCAAATGAGCAAGTTTCTTGTAATTTGTTTGTCGAAGGTATAGTAGGAATACAATGCCCTTGGTGACAGCTGACCACTTAGCAATGTGTTGTTAGGAGGGAAGAGTGACTGCTTTGTATATTGATGAAAATCTTGAGCTCTATATGATCACTTTACATTCAATTTAAGTTATTGGGACTCATTTAATAAAAGTATAGGTTATTGTTTGAGGTGTCACGAGTACATTTCTTGTATTTCGCTACTTTGAAGTGACATTTGATGGCTGAATTGCAAGTATCGTGTTGTTTTTAGCTTGGTGTGTATGTGTGTATATATACACCCATTTGAAAAAACTAGTTGTTTCCAGTATTTTCATTTTTGGGCAATAGGTTACATATGAGTGAATTCTGTTGTATAAGGAAATTGTGTTTCTTCCATAGTACTTTTTTTTCTTGGTGTTGATAAACAGTCCTATGGCCAAATACTTAAAATATTAATGACAATATATTACTGATGCATCAAATGTTTTGGTAGAATCACCAAATTATACTTAGAGT